ATACGAAACGACCGTCGAGAAACGATTAATACCTTAATCGAGTCTCACAATCGAACCCTAAACCCTTTATCATGCCCATTTTTAGTGAGAGAAACCACCGTACTTCACCGGCGATGTAGGTTCACAATGGAGTGGACTAGGATATTAGTAAAGTGACTCGGCGATGAAGATGGGTGTGATTGCCAAAACAGACGAATAATACATACTTTATAATTATTATTATTATTATTATTATTATTATTATTATTATTATTATTATTATTATTATTATTGTTATTATTATTATTATTATTATTATTATAAAATAGAGTTAAAACATCCCAGAAATTGTTAATATATCTTATATATTATTACTAATCTTAATAATAATATTATTATTAATAATATGATTACCATTTTTATGTTTATTCTTCTTATAATAATTATTATAATTGTTTGAATAACATTAATCCTCATCATCAATATTCTTATACTAATTTGTTATTATTGCGACTTGTTAACATAAAATGTTTATAACATTACACCGTATGGGTATATATTATTGTTTTTTTCCTTTACAGAGAATGAGAATCGTACAGTCATGGATGCATCGTACATGTCATCCATTGAATGCAACAACAATACACACAATCGTACACCCCTACGTGCTGTTTTCCAAAGTTCGCTAAGTACGCCTTTAAGTATTGTGACAAATGGTAAGTGTGTTCTATATGATAGTTAAATTATCTAATTAATTGTTGCTAACCATATTTTGGTTATGAAATTCACAGCTTCGACCGCAATTCGTACGACAATTCGGAATTTGCCTTTGCAAGATTTATGTAGCAGAATACCATTAAGCAACATATCCAATAGTACGACCTTGAACAATCATTTTTAACGTCTATAAAAAATTTTTAAGTTGTGATAATTAACATCCTAACAAGTTTTTTTTACGGCTCTTATATAATTAAAGAAAATATCGCGTGGGTTGACGGGGACCGTGAGAAAGCACCTATTACGAAGCGCCACAATCATTCGATCGACTTAAATAGAACCCCAGATTCACAACTAGGTATCCAAATTTCCAATCCATCGATGTATTTATTCCTTATAGCAAACTACACATTCTAATTACGAATTCGGTAGCCATTTATAATTTTATATTGGTTAATAATAATCGTGGTTGTTGAAATCCACAGTATCTTCTCCGTTACGGATGACCATAAATACTACACCAACGCAAGAATTGAGTAGCATGATGCCATTTAGCAACATATCGAATGGTATGAACTTCAACAAATATATTGTAATTATATGTATAGTCAAATTAATATTTATTGTTCTAACGAATCTTATTAAAAAATATGTTTTATTAAAGCAAGTTGCGGTCAAGTCGATTTGATTCGCAGCAACCCACCTAAAGTTGACCGTCCAAGTTTCTGCTTCGACTTAAATCTATCACCAGAGTCGCAGATAGGTATAAACATATTTTCAAGAAGAGGTTTTTAATTGGCACACATTTATAATTATTCATTTAATATAAAACCAAATTAAGTACAATTGGATATTGTTCGTTTAGGTATGGAAAGTAATTGTTGCATTACAAATGACAATAATATGAAAAGAGTCCTGGTAGAGCCAGAGAGTGAAAGAATCGAGCAGTACCGCAATTTGTTACCAGATTTTCAGGAAGTTGTTGAACCGTTACATGACAATATGCCCTCAGTTAATGGTGAGTTCATATGAAATGTGGCAGGACAAAAACGTATTATATTTGGACTACAGTAAAATACATTATCGCGCTAACTAATATATATATTTTTTTTAGATTTTTATTTCGATCTAGGTGATCCAGAGTATCTTTGCGAGCATTGTAATTCAATTTTTTGGTACAATGAACGGTCAAGCAATTCAAAGTCATGTGAAAGTCCAAAATACTCTGCGTGTTGTGTAAATGGTAAAATAAAGTTGTCGTTTATGACAAAGCCTCCTCAAAAGCTATATGAGCTATTCTTTACATCAAACGATAAAAACAAATGTTTTTTAAAGAATATAAGGTCATATAACAACATGTTTTGCTTTACGTCGATGGGTGGAAAAATAGATAGAACTATTAACAACGGAACATCGCCTCCGATATTCCGTATCAATGGTCAAAATTTTCATCGGATTGGAAGCTTATTACCTTCACATGGCATTCAACCGAAATTTGCCCAATTATACATTCACGATACAGAGAATGAGATAGAAAATCGCTTAAACTCTTTGAGGTATACTATTTTGTGTTACTGCAATATTTTTGGTATATCATGGATTAATACAAAGTATCTTATATTATTTATTCTTCCTTTTTTAGTGCCGAAAACAATGGTTCTGCGTTGCATAGTGAGGTAGTAAATGACATTAAGCAAGTTCTAGATGAACACAACGTGTTGGTTAAGTCATTCCGAATGGCCAAGTCGTTTCTGGAGTCTAATCCTCAAAGTCAAATCAGAATGAGATTAATAGGAAAGAGGACTAAAGATGCCAGGACTTATGCGTTACCAACTACTTCCGAGGTTGCTGCACTCATTGTTGGAGATATAGACCCTTACATGGGTCAACGGGATATTGTGGTCAAGTGTAGGTCTGGAGGACTGAAACGAATAAATGAATTAAACCTGGCCTATTTACCATTGCAATACGCAATCTTATTTCCATACGGGGAGGATGGTTTTCGAGAAGATATACATTTTGCAACACTTGGTACAAAACGAGATTTTTCAAGAAAGAGTGTTTCACAAAGAGAGTACTTCGCGTTCCGTATACACGAAAGATTAAATGAGATCTCAACAATAATGTATGGCAGAAGGTTATTCCAACAATTCTTGGTTGATGCTTATACTATGGTTGAATCTTCGAGGTTGCTCTATATTAGGTTAAATCAAAAAGCTCTGAGGTGTGAGGTGTACAAAGGTTTGTCTGATGCGTTGACTCGCGGTGAAGTTCAACCCAGCTCTCAAGGGAAAAGAATAATATTACCATCAAGTTTCACTGGAGGAGCAAGATACATGATACAGAACTATCAAGACGCCATGGCAATTTGCAGATTCATAGGTTATCCAAATCTGTTTATTACTTTTACATGTAATCCTAAATGGCCAGAGATACAACGATTCTTGCAGAAAAGAAACTTGAAAGCTGAAGATCGTCCCGACATTGTCTGCCGTGTTTTCAAATTGAAGCTAGACTGTTTAATTAAAGAAATAAAGAATGGAAAACTATTTGGTCGTGTAAAGGCAGGTGCGTACTGCATGAGCTTATAATTGTCATTTTTAGCATAATAATAATTATTATTATAATACTTCTATCTAACAATATGAATGTTTTTCTGACAGTAATATACACAATTGAATTTCAAAAACGTGGTCTTCCACATGCGCACATATTACTGTTCCTACAAGCGACTAACGACTTTGCCAACCCGGCTTTTATGGACACGATCATTTCAGCCGAGATTCCCGACAAGCGTTCAGACATTGAGTATTACAAAGCTGTCGAAGAATTCATGCTCCACGGCCCATGCGGTGCTGCAAGGACTAAATCCCCGTGCATGGAAAATGGCAAGTGTTCAAAGCATTTTCCAAAAAGATACATTGATGCATCACATTTTGACCAAGATGGTTACCTGTTGTATCGAAGAAGGGATGATAAGAGGACAATAAAAAAGAATGGAATAGAGTTGGATAATAGATATGTTGTACCACATAATCGGTACTTGCTTTTGAAATACAAATCTCAAATTAGTGTAGAGTGGTGTAACCAATCTAGGTCAATCAAGTACCTCTTCAAGTACGTAAATAAGGGCAATGACCGTGTAACTGCTGAGTTTTATAAGACTTCGATGGATGAAGCGGGTAATGAGATTGTGGATGAGATAAACATGTACTATGATTGCAGATACGTATCTGCATGCGAAGCAGCCTGGAGATTGTTTAGTTTTGAAGTCCAGTATAGGACTCCCCTGGTTGTGCGATTAAGCTTCCACTTGCCTGATTGCCAATCAGTTGTTTTCCAAGACCATGATAACATTGATAATGTACTCAATAGAGAAACCGTTGGTCAAAGCATGTTTAATGCATGGTTTTTAGCCAACCAGAATTTCAAAGAAGCGAGTTTGTTGACTTACATTGAGATGCCTACCAAATTTGTTTGGAAAAAAGACATCTGTGAATGGCATCCAAGAAAGACAAATAGATCCTCAATTGGTCGAATATTCTATGTACCTCCAGCTTCAGGTGAAATATATTATTTGAGATGTCTATTGAACATAGTCCGTGGTCCAAAAAGTTTCAAAGATATTAGGACAGTTAACGGTTTTGAGTACTTGACCTTTAGAGATGCGTGTTATGCGCATGGATTGCTAGACGACGATAAAGAGTACGTTGATGCTATAAATGAGGCAAGCTACTGGTCAACTGCACATTCATTGAGGAAGCTATTTGTTGTTTTACTAACATCATCCTCAATTATTAGACCCGAAAATGTTTGGAATCAAGTTTGGCAACATCTGTGTGAAGATGCTCAACACTATCAAAGAAGAATATTAAAACAACAAGGTAAAATATCTTTTTTTTTACAATATACTTTTCAACAATTTTGTTATGTTATAAGTATAACAATTTGGATGTTGCTATTGTAACAGATTTGGTCTTAACAGAGGAAGAGAAAAAGAACTTTGGATTATTGGAATTGGAAAACCTGTTGGGGCAACAGAACAAGTCTTTAAAAGACTTTCCTCCGATGCCCACACCAAGTACCGATAATACAAGGTTGTTTCAAAATCGATTGGTGTTTGAAGAACTGAATTACAATTCAGAACAATTGAAGGCAGGTTCTGAACTGATGTGTGTCAAACTAACAGAAAAACAGGGTCTCATTTTTGATACTGTTATGCAAGATATTTCAACCAATAAAGGTGGATTATTTTTTGTATATTGATACGGTGGGACAGGAAAGAGTTTTTTATGGAGAGCATTATCTGCTTCAGTTCGGTGCAAAGGCCAGATCGTTTTAAATGTCGCATCAAGTGGCATAGCTTCTTTGTTGTTACCAGGTGGCCGAACAGCTCACTCGAGATTTGCAATACCTATTGCAATAAATGAGGACTCTACATGTAACATTAAACAAGGTAGCGACTTGGCTGAATTGTTGATAAAAACGAGTTTGATAATTTGGGATGAAGCTCCCATGATGCACAAACATTGCTTTGAAGCGTTAGATCGAACCATGCAAGATTTGTTGCGTTTTGTTGACCCTAACAGTGAAATGAAGACGTTTGGTGGTAAAACAGTGGTCCTGGGTGGAGATTTCCGCCAAATTCTTCCAGTAGTTCCAAAAGGTACACGTCAAGACATTGTTTCGTCCGCTATAAATTCATCATATTTATGGGATACTTGCAAAGTTTTAAGATTGACTAAAAACCTAAGGCTAAGTTCGGTAAACAATGGTGTGAACCGGCAGGCATTAAAAGAGTTTGCTAACTGGATTGCCTATATCGGCGATGGAAAGCTTGGTGGGAGGAATGACGGATTCGCAGGGGTTCAAATACCTAATCACATGTTAGTATCATCCGGGGGTGACAACATTAAAGCAATTGTGGAAAGTACATTTCCAATGTTTGCAGTTGGAAACACTGACCCCGAGCATCTGATAGGTCGTGCTATACTTGCACCAACACTGGACGTTGTCAACGCAGTTAATGAATATATGACTGAGTTGCATGATGCCGAAAGCAGGTCCTACTATAGTTCAGACGCAGTATGCAAAGCCGACGGTGATAATGGTATACTTGGAGATGTACACACCCCGGAATTCCTAAACAGCATTCGTGTGTCGGGTCTACCAAATCATACACTGAATTTGAAAATTGGCTCACCAGTAATGCTAATGAGAAATATTGACCATTCTCTTGGGTTGTGCAATGGAACTCGGTTGATAATCACAAAGTTAGCAGACCATGTTATTGAAGGCGAGCTTCTCACTGGCCCCAACAAAGGTACAAAAGTGTTAATACCCCGAATGTCAATGTCACCCTCGGATCCAAGATTGCCGTTCATGTTTCAACGAAGGCAATTCCCATTGATGCTTTCATATGCGATGACCATAAACAAAAGTCAAGGCCAAACGTTGAGTCATGTAGGGTTAATACTAAAGAAACCGGTTTTTGTACACGGTCAGTTGTACGTAGCTGCATCTCGGGTTAATAATCCAGACGGTTTGAAAATACTGATTGTAAAAGACTCAAGTGCAACTACTACATCAACCACTAATGTTGTATATCATGAAGTTTTCAATAATTTGTAATTTTGTAATGTATTGTTTTTATATTACCAACACCTTGCAACTATTAGTAAGACACAATTTTCCTACGTTTTGGCACTGTATTCCCCAATATATCACACAAATCTTAACATAAAATACACACAACTAAAACTGTTTAAATAACATCCCGTGCATCGCACGGGTCAAATACTAGTAATAATAATAAAGCAATAATAATGATAAAGTAATCCTTTATATAATAAAGCTATATGGTTTGGGAAATAATTAGGGCCTGTTTACTAACAGAAAATAATTCTCTATTTTCAATTCTCTGTTTTCTATTCTCTGTTTTCAATTCTCTGTCTTCAATTCTCTGTTTTCGAAAACTGAAGTTGAAAACTTGTTTACCTGTACTTATTTTCGAAATCATATTCTCCATTTACTAAATTAAAAATATACTACATACATATATTTATAAGTTATTTCGTGACAAATTAAAATGTCATTAGAAAACATATTAATTGCAATAATTTAAAATAAGTTGTTCGTGACGAGATGTGATTACAAAACATTGCAAATAAAATTGATTACACCATCAATGATTATAATTTGCCCAGAGTGCATTTGCGATGTCCTCACGCAATTGTAGCATTTGGTCTTGTTCACTCATATCTAATTGTATGGTATCATTGCCGCCACCACTACTACTTCCACCATCATCCACCGTTACAATTAATGCCACAACATCCTTTATTATAAAAAAAAAAAAAAGCACAACATTTAAAAAATAAAATAGCTATATATTATATAATCATATAAAAAATACTTTTGAAAAATAAAATAGCTATATATTATATAATCATATAAAAAATGTGTTCAATTAGAGTTTAAATTTACACATACAAAATTTAAAATTTGCTTTCCAAATGTAATTATCTTAGTTATTATTCGTATTGTGAAAATTATAATATAGATGAAATACAATTAAGAATAAATCAATGTAATTATGTAAATTCTCTATAAGTTTATTTGAATATGCACATAATTAGAGATTATATTAACCATACAAAATTATAATTATAATTTTAATTTTAATTGTAATTTTGTATTCTATAAAAATAATAAATACTTGACCAATGGAAGCTCAAAAATATTATTATATTAAATAATTTAAAATACTTTAGTTTTTCTATTTTTTATTTATATTTATAATAACATAATTTTTCCCGTGCATCGCGCGGGTGAATTACTAGTAATAATAATAAAGTAATAATAATAATGACAACGTCATTATGAATAGGAAATGATGAGAAAGTTCAAGTGCTTGTAGCTCTTCTCATAAGTCATAAATGTAATAAATGTACACATTGTGGGTTTGCTTCATACTTACAGTAGTGCATATATTTATACATACATATACGTGTGTGCGGTGTGCCCCATGTGGGTAAAGGAAAATCAAAGCTAAGCAAAAGGAGGGTCAAGCCTTATTTAAATCCAGTTTCTCCATAGTCAAATCTTGCTTGTCAGTGTTGGGACAAAGCCAGAGTATTGAGAAAACAAATGCAAAGCACTAAAATCCATAAAAGCCTGTGAGAACCAACCAAGTCTTCGAACAAAATTCATCTCTGCATCCTCTCGCGTCATTCCTCTCCTTTTTTTTTTTTTTTATGGTAAAGCATGCATGACTATTTCTCTGTATGTGATATTCGGCGAGGGGAAATCATAGAGGTGTCCGACGTATCAGTGATAACAGATGATGAGTGACCAGTGGACACTACAAATATATCAGCATCGGCGAAGTGACCCGTGGTCCTCGCATGTATACTTTGTGTTTATAAAACATCCTCTCCTGCAAAGCAATTTGAATGTATAGGTATGGTGATGGTTAATCGTGTGTGTATATGCATTGTATATATGCCCATGTCGGTAGCAGTGTAAAGGAAGGAGGTCAGTGGTGATTATATGTACACTGACTTACGCAAAGGGCAGTCTTTGCGAAAGGAACATATCCAGGCAAGTAAAAGTTGATAATGGAGTTTCATATTTTCCCAGCCTAGATAACTCACTACCTTTCTCCTCTCTACGGAAAACTACCTGAATCAATGGACGCCATCAACGGTCTGGCGCTCTCCTTCCATTTTGCCTTTTTTCCGGGCGGCATCAACAGTCACAGCTGCGGGTAAGTCATCTTCTTGGTTGTTGTTTGGCCAGTGTTGTTTGTTGTAGTAGGAGTCGAGTAGTCGACAATGGAGTTTTCATTTTTTTTTCTTTTCTCCATGCCCTTTCTTTGTTTCACATGTTTCAGATTATGCAAAGATTGTGTGTCCCAAAATTAAACTAAGCAAAGCCGCGCCCTTTCTCCTCAACCCACATTTAGCCAAGAAAATCAAATCAAATTTGGATCATATCATTATATCTCAACTATGATGACCAGAAACCCTCAAGGGTGAGAGTACGTTTCCATGGGATTCCCCCCAAAAACTTACAGAAACTCCATAAATAGTTTCAATATCATTTTCTCATTTTTTTTTTCTTTTTTGAACTTGATTTTGGAGTTGAGTGACAGCTCAGTTGTCATCGACATTTGGGGGACTGATACTTCACGGGTCGTGGCTGACCAATCGGTCGCCATTGTGACTGGTCGGTCAGCCCGAGTGGTGTTTTTCTTTTCTTTTTTTTGTTGTCAGATGGTGGTTCTTCTGCTTTTTTCTATCAGACATCTCTCAATCAGTTAGTCTTTTTCAAGCCGTTTATCTATTTCTTGCTTCTTCCAACTCAATACTACGCACGGTGTACTTTATTCATTTGTCTAGGTCACAACATACTCCTGGCCCTTCTTTTTCCAGGTTCTGGAATGTCGCAGGGCTTAAGTGAGCAGTGAGAGATTCCTCTGGATGATGATTATCTGGACTCGACCGTCGATCTTCATATGCTGGCTGACCTTTCTAATGATTTTGCTGGCTGACCTTTCTATTGCTGACATGTCTTTTGGATTGTGTAGGGCCAAGAGCTGATGATAGTGGTTGCCAGGATGGGGTCGAGCAAGGGGATGCTTCCAGCTGTGATCCTGCTTCTTAGATAATGTGTAGCAATTTTTTTTTTTTTTTTAATTTTTGGTACAACTGGGAGTTGTAGTGTCAATTTCTATTCAGCTTGTTTTCCTTTCCTGTTCTTTTTCTACTCTTTTGTTTTGTGTATGTTATTTCCAGCTTTATCCAGTTCCATCCATCTAGTATGTCCATCCGCCAAATATGTTTGAGAACGTGTCTAGTTCTCAAGTTTATCTCATTCATTCAGTATGCCCATCCTCCAAATATTTTGAGAACGTCACCCGTTCTTAGTCAGTATGCCCATACGCCCAACCGCCAACGATTTTTGTGAACGTCGCCCGTTCGTCAAAGATTTTTTAGAACATCTCCCGTTCTTAGACAGTACGCCCAACCGCCAAAGATTTTTGAGAACATCTCCCACTCTTAGCCAGTACGCCCTACCGCCAAAGAGTTTTGAGAACGTCTCCCGTTCTCAGCCAGTATGCCCAACTTCCAAAGATTTTTGAGAACGTCTCCCGTTCTCAGCCAGTACGCCCAACCGCCGAAGATTTTTGAGAACGTCTCACGTTCTTTGTCAGTATGCCCATCTACCAAAGACTATTAAGAGCGTCTCCCGTTCTTTGTCAGTATGATCATCCACTAAAGACTTTTGAGAACGTCTCCCGTTCTCAGCCA